ATGCACTTCTTTTTGTCACACACACACACACACACACACACACACACACACACACACACACACACACACACACACACACAGATCGGAAATTGCGCTGCGCATACACAGAAACATCCAGGAGCACAGAAACTTGTTGTCAAAGCTTGCCCAGTGACTTTTGTTTTGTAAAATAACTTTGATACACTCTTAAAAAAAAGGGTTCTTTTGGGTTCTATATAGAACCCTAGGGTTCTTTACTCAACTCCAAAGAACCCTTTATGCCAAAAAGGTTCTATATAAGGAGAAAGAACCCTTTTTGGCATAACAGGGTTCTTTGGGATAAACCATGCTTTATTTATGTTTACACATTAGGCTATTTAAAATTATTATACTACATTGTGTGTTTTTATTTCAATTTTACTTAGACACACCTTTATTCTGAAGAAAATAAACTTAAAATTTATGTCTGCACTTTCAAGTTTAATAGAAAATAATTGCCACGTGATCCTGTACACTGAAAAAAATGCCTAACATCTAAATGAACTGATTTTACTTAAGTCTACTATCACTGAATCAAACTATTAATTTATACCAACAGACTGATCAGGTAGAAATACATGTGTACTAGCAGTGTATAGCAATCTGGACAGTTTTATCTATTTATTAATAGGTACACGCTATAGTCTGCTATTTAATCAGCACACTAACATGATTGCAAGTTAGTTATCATGCCATGTAAGATTAGATTATGTATTTATGCGCTGATCAGTTTTGTCCCGTTTGCACAGCGCCGCACTTTAGTCGCGCGCCTCTCGCGAGAGTGATCAGCAACGAATCGTCTGGTTGCTGTGTTTCCGCCTAAAATGTAAGTGACCTAATATTATTGTATTTGCTTATTGAACTGTTTATAGAACTATTAAACAGTCGTAATGGTGAAAACGTTGTGTGATGTTGCCTAACTAACTGTATTTTAAATATAAAAACTTTTTATTAAGATTTTTTTACCTCAGCATGCTTACTTGTCTCGTTTTAATGAAGCGTTAATGTCGAGCCCCGGAGTCTATGGCTGCGTTTACACTGGCACAAAAAATCCGATCTTTCGCTCACATCTGACACAGATCAGAATTTGCTGCACACGTGTAAACGCAAAAACCCGCACGAGATCCGATTCCTCTTCAGGAACTCGAGCTGCGTCAGAAAACGCTAGGGGAACGTCTTTTGTGACCCATGCTCTGAATCCCATGTGAAATCAGTCCAATAGCTGAGCGGGACGTCACGGGCGGGTGACATCATGACCAGGAAGCTATAAAAGCACGTGCGGTGGAGCCTGCATCAGCTTTCTGTCATTCAGCGAAGCGCTTTGTGTGTGTCAGTCATATTTATTGTTGTCTGTCAATTGTGAAAGTCTATAAACTCCAGCTATGTCTAAGCTCATGCAAAGACAAAGCATTATCAAAGGGCGAGAGCAAGCCACGTTGTAGGTTGTGTGTTCCTCCCTCCAAAAAGAAAAGTGGGGATACACACAGCCTGTGCGTGGTTTGCTTGGGAGCGAAGCACGGTTGTTACTGCCTTGTTTCGCTCTCAGAGGACTCTCTTCGAGGAGGGAGCCTTCACTAGCGTTCCTCGCGGTGCCGGCCCCGCTTTCGCCGAGGCGGAGCGGCGGCTGTGCTCGTGGGTTTCGCGTATGGATCTGCTTCCTAATCACCAGATCCGGCGCCCGCTTTCTCTGAGGAGATTGATATGGAGGCTGTCAAAGAGCTCGCCAGTTGCACAAGCATCAGTTACACAAGCATATTATGCCTGACATTATAATGAGCACCATTGATAGGGAGCGGAGCTCGAGCAGTAGGCTCTCGGGGGGCGGATTGTGCTTTTTTCCATTGTTAAGCGCTCCGCTCTCGCCGGGCACGTGCCTGTGATCATGCGATTGCGGTCCCGCTGCTGCTGAGGCACGGCGGCGACTGAGATCG